CAAAGAGATCAATGCCAGTCACAAGATCCAACTTTAAAAAACTAAAAAAAGAAAAAATAATAATCCGAACTTGAACTCATTACACTTTTTTTTTAAGAAGCTTGTACTCATAAAACATAAAGCTCGCATAAGAAGACTTCAGGAATTACCATCTCTAGACTCCTATGAGAGGGAACTCCGAAGTTCCTCAATCTAGATGGTACAACAAGTTATCACTACAATATGAATAGAGTTTCTGGAACTTTCTACAATGGATAGTAAAAGCATTGAAATAAATACCAAGAAGATAGTGTGATAAATTTCTTTGCAAGAGAAGCATTCTGAAAAAAGCATTGCTACATAAATCATATTAAACTAAATAAAGTAGTATACATACTTTAGAAAGAAAACCTTCATCGGGTGAATAATCTGTCAATTTAAAAAACTAAACCATGTATGATTTGATGATGATGATTCCAGATTTTGGATCATCTTGAACCAGAAGATTTCCCAGACCAAGAAACATAATTTCTGGCTCACCGGAAATATTTCTCTGAGTTCAAAACCATTTCAATCATATTTAAGTCATAATCACAAATAAGAAGGACTCCCAAATCAAGATTAGACAACAGAATCTATTCAAATCACATAATGGCTAATCAACTGAAAAAGGTTATACCGTACCCAAAAAGAAAGCAAAAATCCCAGATTAATTTTACGAACCAAGTTCAAGAATTCCCAAAAGAAAGAAAAAGGTTAGAGGAGCGGACATACCGTTTGGGTTTCCCTTTCTTCTCCAAGAAAACCCTTCCTCACCTGCCCCTGTTTCAGTCTGAAGAAAGAAATAACAAAAACTATTCTCTTTTCTTTCTGTCAATGAAAGAAGATAGAACCGAAGTTAAAAACCTTCCTCACCTGCCCCCCTGCTTCACTTTGAAGAGAGAACACAAACTAATCTTCTCTTTCTGTCATGAAAGAAAGAAGGGGGAAGGTTTTATAAAGAGTATTTGGAGGCTGGGTCCGAAGGAAAAGAAGAGAGAGAAAGGCTCGGGCTGGACTTCGGCCTGGTTTGGTTTATTTCCGAGCCTAGCCCGTGCGACGAAAAATAAGCAAAGGGAAGAGCAAAACTAAATTAAAATTCAACCATATATATATATATATATATATTATACCATATAATTAATTAAGTAACTTTTGCCTTTTTATTTTTTATTTATTTTTTTCTTTACATTTTCTAGTTATTAATATGATAACTAAAATAATAGAAGATTATGTGAAAAATTAAGGACTTTTTTTATTTTATTTTTTATTATTTTATTTAATTCAATACCAAATAAAGTTAAAATATAACATTATCCACAACGGTATATATAAAGAGTTGATAAATTATATGTTTTTCGTATAAGAAATGGAGAAATTAATATCACAAATGTTGTAAGTTTAAACTTATCGAAACAAATATGAAACTTTAAATTAAAAAAAAAAAAAAAAAGCTAAGAACAACGAGAAAACAAGTGATTTGGTTTTACCAAATGATTATCTTAACTACATAATACGCATATAAATCAAAACAAAAATTCAACGATTAAAATTATGACAAAGAACGAGAAAATTATATTTTTTAAAAATAAATAACCTATAACAAAAAAAAAATTTCAATTATTAAAAGTCATAATTTGTGAAATATATGTTAGGCAATAGGAAAGGGTTTTGTTTGTATACTCTACCTTCATCTATGATATTCCTTTATGGGAATTTTCAGTGACAAGGTAGATGCATTTCTAAATTCTTTTTTCTTCATTTTTTTTTTTTATAATTTGTGAACTATGAAATAAAACTTAAAAATAATACATAAAATTTTATTAATATATTATGTAATAATATATACTTTCAATTAATATGTAATCACAGTTTCATTGCAACACATTCTTTCCTAATTAGTAATTATTACATTACGATTTTCAATTAACTAACTAAACATGTTATAAATCTCTACTTAATCAAAATATTTTTATGTTTCTATTGTCCAAAATGAAATTTAGCCCACCAACTCATGAGCAAGAGATTGAATTTAACATATTCCACCTCGATGCCACTTGCACCAATTTCTACATGTTCAAATTTCTCTTTCTAATATTGTCCAAAATGAAATTTGACCACACCACCTCATGAGTAAGAAATTGAATTTAACAAATTCTACCTCGATACCCCTTGCAGCAATTGCTACATGTTCCAACTTCTCTTTCTAATATTGTTCAAAATGAAATTTAGCCCACCACCTCATGAGCATCTCATGAGCAAGAGATTGAATTTAATAGATTCCACCTCTTAAAACAATTTCTACATGTTCTAACTTCTCTTTCTAATATTGTCCAAAATGAAATTTAGCTCACAACTTCATGAACATGTCATGAGCAAAAGATTGAATTTAACAGATTCCACCTTGATACCACTTGCACCAATTTCTACATGTTCCAACTTCTCTTTCTAACATGTTAATCTTATAATATATTACTCAGTATATGTTTGTTGAATTGTGATCTTTCTTTATATCACCAATATATTTTTAAAAATGATAACTCAAAGAAGAATACAGGATAAACAAAAAAATAATTACAGAATAAACATTTGCTATTAATAAATGTCAGTAGTTTTTAATAGAACAAGGACAAGAAACAAAACTTGACAAAATTAAACATAAAGAAAATTGTCTTGTTTAGTTAGGCATATACGAGCCGCAACAGATAGCCAAATATGTCATTTTCTCGTGAGTACGCACAGGCTAACAATCCCTCTATAAGCTTTCTAAGAACTGCCTTTTTGTCTATTCTACTCATCAGTTACACAACCCTTTGATGCCGGCTGCACATTCTTTATGTACTGGATCAAAGACAAAGTTATTAGATCGTTAAATAAATTAACCCTAGAAAGCAGATAGTAAGAAAGATTCTTTAAACTCCTGTACTTGTGAAGAACTCCTCGGGTAGTCTTATACAGGGGTGGAGTCCATATCTTTCTTCTCTCAGTCATTTCTTCAATCTGGATATCTACTCTCTTATTTTTGACATAAATCTTGATGACACCTCCATTTTTTATGAGACCAATAGGACCACCCTCCTATAAATTATTGGTTTCTTGTAAAAAAAAAGTATTATATTCCTCTAAATATACATAGAGATTTAAAAGAAAAGAAGAAGATTTAAAAGGAAAAAAATTTCTCTATCCTCAAAATTCTCCTCAAATAATGCATAGTCCACCCATTAGGAAATTTCAACCCAACCCCTGTAACACCCCAACCCTTTCTTTTTTCCTTAATTTTATTTATTTATTTATTTTTTATTTATTTTGTAATTATTATATGAATATAATGATTTATTATGCAATAATACATTGAATTTAAATTAGTTTAATTTATTTTAATGGAAATAATAATAATAATAATAATGGGTAAAAATTATTTAGGAATTTAATTGAAAATAATTTTGTAAAAAATGAGTGAAAATTTGGGTTCTGTGAGTATTTTTGAAAGAAAAAAAATTGAAAACTGGAGTCAAAACACAATTCATAAAAATTGTGCCACGTCAGCTGTCCGGTCAGCAGCCCCGGCCAACCAGGATGCGCCGCGTGGCAGAGACACTGACGCAGGAGGCCACGCGGAAAGGAGACACGTGGGCGATCCGCGTGCGCGCGATCGAACGACTGAGATCCGTTCCCGCGCTCACGGACAACCCAGATAAAAAACGTGCACAGACGGCCCAGATTGCACGCGCACAGACGGTTCAGATTACATCGCGATGAACGGTCCATATTCATTTCCTATTTAATCACGATCGGACGACCCAGATAGAATCGTGATGGACGGCTCAGATTAAAAGCGGATGGTTATAAATAATCACATCCGCACCCTAACCCTAGCCGCCAGAGCCCCTCACCGGAAAAGACAGCCCAACCGTTAGGGAGCCGATTGCTGCCACCTGCCGCCGCACCGGAGCAATTTTCGGTCGCCAAACGAGGTTAAAATTCTCTCATTGGCTCAGAATTCGATTCTAAACCCATCTATAACCAAATCGGAGCAAAAATATCAGCTAATTAGCCAAAAAACGCTGTCAAAACCCAGTGGCGCCGCCTCGGGTTGTCTCAATTTTTGCCTCTGATGATGCCCTTTTCGATTCCTGTTCGATATAATTTTTCCACCATTGTGACCACCGTTTCCTCATCTACAGGTTGGCCAAAGTAAAACACTAAACTGCGACGCGAGCTAGAGGAGTCGCCGCACCGGAGAGCCCCACCGCCGGTAAGTTTCAGTTTTTTGTGTTTTTTCGGTCC